ATCGGCGAACTTGGCCAGTCCGCTCCTGACTCCAGTGTCCACGTCATCAATGAAGACGTTGAACAATATGGGTCCAAAGACAGAGCCTCGGGGGGACCCCACCGGCCACCGGGCACCACACAATTGACTCCCGTCCACCACCACCCTCCGGGTCCCACCACGGAGCCAGTTCCCCAGTGCGGGGAATCCAGGCTGACCCCATCCGCGCGGGCCGCAGGCTCCCCGCACCGAGCCGGTGGAGGGGCCTTTCTGCACCGTCCCCACGCGCGACTCTCGAAACACCCGCGGTCTGGGCAGCTGGAAATGCGGAAGTGGCCGCGGCGCCGGCGACCGTTGACAGCTTCGCGCCTCTCCTGGCAGTTCCTTCTCCAGCGCGAGTTTCTCCATCCCCGGCGGACCGCAGGCCGGGGCGCAGGAGGCAGCTTTCCCTGCAGGCCGCACCGTGCTGGTCTCGGTGGGGGCAGAAGGAGCAATGGGCCCAAGCTGCAGCAGGGGCAGCTGAGGCTGCGTAGTAGGAAACTGTCTCTCACGAGGAGGGCGGCGACGGGGTGCCCAGAGGGGTGCTGGCATCTCCGTCCTCCGCCCCAGTTCACCCAGCCTGCGTGCGGCGGGGCTGGTCCCCCACCAGACGCGACCCCCAGCTGCGGAGGCGCGTGCAAGCCCCCGGGCGCAGGGGCTGCAGGCAGGGGGCAAGGACGGGTCTGGTGCCCTGGGGGCTGGGGGGAGGCGCAGGCGCCCCCACAGGCTTCCCTTTTCTCTCCCCCGGGACAGGGTCCGAGCCCGGGTGGGAGCCGGTGGCTCCCGTGCAGGGGAGCAGAGCCCGGTGCCTGCCCGCGGGGGCGGCGCTCCGGACCCCTGGGTCCGCGGTGCACCCGGGGGTGCAACACAGGGGGGCTCTGCACCCCCTGGGGCTACCGCGCATCCAGGGGGAGTTGCAACTAGGGGGTCTCCAGGCCCCTTGACTCTGCCATGCAGAGGGAGGAGGGTGCAGCCAGGAGGCGGGGGGTGGGGGGATGGTTAGGAAGGCCAAGGCAGAGATGGAACAGGAGCTGGCTTCCTGGATTAAGGACAACAAGAAGTCCTTTTTTAAGTACATAGGGAGAAGAAAGAAGGCCCCAGGAAATGTGGGGCCCTTGCAGGACAAGTC